TTTTTAAAAATTAAGAACAAAGCATGACCTTCCTCTCCTAGTTTGCAAAGGACATAGGCTCCAGAAGAGGGCATATGTTCATTGCAGTGCTCAGTGTTGTCATCCCCCAACCCCCTAGGCTGTGTGCACACTCCCAGGGCTGTGATCACACCAAGCTTGTCCCTAGCACAAGTGGAGGGAGCGAGACTCTGACCATTATCTGGCATTTGGCAGCTGCCAAAAGAGAGTCAGAGGGGGAGGGCACAGAAACCCAGACAGTATCAAGGGGAAAGGGTGGGTGCTCCCAGATTGAGGCTTGTGTCCTCAAATACAAAGCATCAGATATGCAGAGATGTCAGTAGCCTGAAAACTAAAAGCAGTAAGGCAGTCACATGATCCCAGCCATCTGGTTAACCCAACATGTCCTCAGTATTTTAAATCTAGAACTAAATATAGCCCCTTTTCCAAACAGCACTCAGCATATTGAAGAATGCAGACAAGTTGGAGCTTTGCATGCAGTGCCTGCAGATGTGGATGTGGAGACTAGACCCTGGCTTAGAAATTCCTAGTTAATGTGCAAGGCATTTCCTCTTTATTGTATCAGTTCTCTTTTGCTTGGTATCAAGCTCCCAGGTTGCTGTTTTAGTGGCTTAAAACAGCAACCATTATATTTGCTTGTGACATGTGGGCTGGCCATGCGGTTCTTTTCGTCTGGGCTCACCCTCCTGGTATCCATCTGCTAGTGGCGTGGCTGGGCTGGATGGTCTGGGATGGCCTTTCTGTCATGTGTGGTGATTGGCAGGCTGGTTGTTTGCAGCCTTGGCTGCACGTGGTCTGTCATCCTCCAGCCCCTAGCTGGGCATCTTCACATGGTGGTCTTAGAGTTCCAAAAGCAGCAAAGGAGGACAAGCCCCAGTACTTAAGGACTTTTCAAGCCTCTGCTTGCACCTCACTTGCTGTTGTCCCATTGGCCAAAGCCAATAGCTATTCCAAGCTTAGAGTCAATGTGAGAGAAGACCATTGAGCCAGAAAGGCATGAACAAATTGGGGGTCATCACTGCAACAGATCCACCATGCTAAAAGCCTGAGATTTAACTCAGCAAGTAGCAATTGTTTCCATCTAATGTCCATGTGAAGACAACTTTGAACCATCTTGTAGTTCATCCTTGCATGAAAAAGTGGTGTCTGGTAAAGCCAAGGAGTGCAGACTTAGTAGTTCTAATAGCCACAGCTGCCAGTAAGTGTGATGGAAAATCCTCCTGGTGGCTGGAGGCAGGAAATGGTTGAGGGGCCAGACCTGACCCAGCACCAGAAGAAAGACCTTGACCTCCCTCCCACACCCAAGCGCAGAGCAACCAAGAGGTGCATCTGGTGTCTGGGGCCCTGAAGGAAGAGACCCCGTGAAGGCAAGGAGGGAAGTGTCCCAGGAAGAGGTGCAGATTTCTGAGGACACTAGGCACTGGCCCTTAGTGGGGGGGCAGTGACTAAAGGGGCAGAAGCAATGTTCCTTTGAAGGTATAAAATTGGTATCTGTTTGTTAACAGAGATGCTGGTTGCCAGATGTCCAGGCTCAGTTGTGAGATACACATGTATTTCTGTCACTCTTTTAGCAAATGTTCTCTATTGGCAGAAAGTCTGACATATCCCTTAAAGGAGTGGTTCTCAAACTCCCTTGCAGGGCCCTTGTGGGGGTGGAGGTGGGGGTAGGGACCAAGGGGCACCAGGGCTCTGGCTGCTATTTCATGCCCTGCAGATAGGCTAAAAACAAAAACAAAAAACAGCTTTATTGAGATAGAATTCACGTAGTGTACAGTTCACTCTGTGCGCAGTTTAGTAGTTTTCTATATTCTCAGAAAGTGGTGCATCCCTCACCACGTCAGCAGATGAGCGTTCATCTGATCGTTCTGAAGGAGATTGTATTTGAAGAGATTCTGCCCATAATATCCAGTTGGAAATGACTGTTTTAATTTTATTTTAGTTGAAGAGCCTTTTCTGAAGATAGTGTCATTTTCAAGTTCTATTTCAAATGCCAATCAGCCCGGGAGATAAACTTGGTATCTATGAGTGATGGGGTAAAACCTATAGCAAATATTTATTTTTTTTCACAAAAGGATCAGTTAGGGCCTCATTCAACATTTTTTTTTTTTTTAAATATCTTTTATTGATTTCAGCGAGGGGAAGGGAGACAGAGAGAGAGAAACATGAATGATGAGAGAGTCGTTGTTGATCAGCTGCCTCCTGCAGGCCCCCAACTGGGTATCGAACCCACAACCCAGGCATGTGCCCTTACGGGGAATCAAACCCCGATCTCCCATCTCCTGGGTTCTAGGTCGATGCGCAACCACTGAGCCACGCCCGGCTGGGCCATTTTGCCTTTTTTAAAAAGTCCTTTTGTATAGTTCTGAGGTGGTTAGAGAAAATTAGAATGGGTGGGTGGGGCTGCAGGAAGACCCATGGATAGGCTGAAATAGCTCAGTGGGGCAAGGTCTCTAATTAGCAGAGGGGACTACTTAAAGGAGTGAATCCTCTGGCACACCCCAGCTGTCCCTAAAGACATTACTGTGGGATACGTGGCAGTGATTGACATTCAGGTTAACGTTGAAAATAAAGAAGACCACAGTCATCTTGGCAAAACATTCATCAAAAAAGTTGGAGACAGAGTTGGGAGTCAGAATGGGGTGAGCGTAAGCTGGTCCGGGAAACGTTTCATTGTCTGGCACACTGTAAGTGCTCAATAAGATTCCTTTACCTTTTTCTTTGGAAAGGTCATGCTGTAAAGTATCTTGTTCCACGTTGATATCAGACAAATGAACCACTCACAAACTGATTTCCTCTTATTAATTTGATGGACCCATTCTTGGTGGCCTCATTTCAGGGCAGAGACGGAACCCACAGCTCCCTATTGTTCTCTCACGAGGATCCACGTCGGCCTGCCAGAGGCCTGGGCTTAATTGGATTATTTTCAGTTGGCAAATTTGGTTTTCCAGCTCCGAACACGTGTTTATTGCCTCTGCTTTATTCACAGGGCATGTTCCCGATTTGAGGTGAAACCATGAGGAGGAGATAGAACAAATAATAATGCTTTTCCGCAATCGCTTCTTGCTGCTGCTGGCCCTAGCTGCTCTGCTGGCCTTCCTGAGCCTCAGCCTGCAGTTCTGTGAGTATCCGGGAGGGGAGGGGGTTCTCGCTGGAGTAGAGCACCCTCCAGGCAAACAAGTAGGCCCAGAGCAGTTGTTGTCCAAGTGAACAGTGGGTTTAAAACAATGAGTCTTTTTATTATTGGTGCTAGTGGTGGATGGCTGACAGCAGGAGTCTCAAACCACTGAGTGGTTGTTTGGGTGTCTTTCTCGGCTGTGAGGAATTAGAGTGCACTGCACGCTAGGTCCTGTGACCTGCATTTGGCTTCTGCACAGATTCCTAAACTGCCTGGCTATTCCCAGATTCTTAGATTTCCAGATGCACTGAGTGGCCCAGGTTGTTTTCTTGTCATGCCGAGCCACAAAGAGCAGAGGTATTTGGCCCTCTGGCTGGTTCTTTGCTAGTTGGGTGTCCATTTTATGTTCAGTGGGCTGTGGGTTGGAGTTGTTGGGGCAGAGAGGGGCATTAGGTATGAAACTCAGACCCCTGTCTGCAGGGACTTTGTATGGGAAATTGGATGTGGTGAGGCAAGAGTGTGACTCATGAAGCCAGGCCACGGACCTCACCGCCTAGTACTTTCCCCTTCCCTGAGAGGGAGCCTGTGCTCATGCTGGGCGCAGATCTGTGCACTGCACTGCTCCCCCAAGAGCAGCCGCCCTCAAACACAGATCTGGCCCTACAACCCTTGGTTGTAACCCTTCAGTGGTGGCCCATGGTCTCTGAGGCCCTTTGCCATCCTGTGGCCTCTCTCACCTTGGACTCGGTGACACAGCATTGCCAAGTTGCTAGGCATTCTCTCCATATCCAGTCTGTTCTCTGTGCCCGGATCCCCCCGGCCCCTCTGCCTGGAGTGCTCTCCGCCTCACCTCCCTTTTTTCCTCTCCTCCACTTGGTTCACTCAGCCCTTTTCTCTTCTAGGAATTTCCCGTGGCCCCCCAGCTTCTCTGATGTACATCGTCCTGAACCTGTTCCCCTCCTTGCACCACCCATGCAGTATCATTATTTTCAGTTCTTGTATCTTTTCCTCCTATGAGACTGTCTGCTTCCTGAGAGCAGGACCACATCCTGTTTCCTCTGTACCCGAGGGACTGCACTGCACACCACTCAGTAGTGTTTCATGATGTTTGTTAGATGAATGAATCTCTACCTGCCCTGAAAAGCAGGCTGACCCTGCTTCCCTTTCCTCCTGGTACTGATACTTGAAGTCAACAAAACCTCTGTGCCATGCTGAGAATGGTGTTCTTGCTGTTGCCTGCCTTCCCTCCATTTACCTCCTCACCTTATGGGCGGGAGACGAGGGGTTGGCACCCATCACCACCAAGGAAGGCTCTGTGAGGAGGTGGTGTTCTGCTGCAGTTTGAATGATAGAAAGACAAGCAGGTGGCTCAGTGAGTGGGATGTCCCAAGTGTGCCGAGGAAAGTGGGAAAGACTTGGCACATGAAATAAGTGGCTTGAAGAGAGGAGGCTTTGAGCAAGTTTCCCTGATTCCTCTCCAGTTTGTGACAGATTCCATGCACACATCTGGTGCATATGACAGGCTATTTCCAACAGTAAAGAGAATTTAAAATACTCACTTGCTCCTTCCAGAACTGGAGAAGTGGCCAAGAGAAGGTGGACATAGGAAGTTTAAAGATACTCCAGATGGTTAACAAACCATAAAATAGGAATCCTTTCCAAAAAGTGTATTAGGACTCGGTCCTTTAATTGTTTATAGCTTTTATTAAAAATTTTCCATCCTTTGGTTGCAGATGTGGGAGGTTCCAATCAGCCTGGATTTTTATTCTGAGGAGGTGACGGGATCTGAGACGTGAATGGGGGCTACTTGTGTTCGCTGCGTTTCTTTTGCATGAGGTGGTTTCCACGTCACTGAATTGGCCTGTGTGTTTTGCTTATATAACTCTTGTGAAAGTCCCTTCTGTTTTAGGAGAGCCAATTTTCAGCCATACTTTCTGAAAGGAAAATTTTTCAGGGTAAATTACCCTGCTTGGGTCTTAGCTCTTTCCTTCTCGGATACGTTGGAGTTCGGAAAGCTATTAAGATATGGATACTCTTACTGCTCTTCTATTTCTAGGTAAAATGTAATTTGGGGACTTACACGTTTCTGTGGAAATGGAGTTTAATTGCTTATTTAATTGCTTTGTTGGTTGCTAATTTTTATGGTGTTAGAAACTTTACTAATTCATGCTATGAAAGGATATGCTTGAGTAATACTTGTTTTCATTCCTACCCTGAAATATAGGGACTTTTTCTTCACCATTTCTTTTGGCTAATTTTTGAATACTAAACTAGCACTTATAATTATTTTAGAGGGTATAGTTGATGCAATCAGATATAACTCGGTTTTCTCATGCTTTAAGTGAACGGTACAGCTTTGCTTTCTGCAATGATTGTATGTTTCATTTTGTCATGTTGGTAATTTTCTTTTTCTGATGGTTTGAACATGAGAAAGTTATGACCCAAGGTAACAATTTTAAACATCAGGTTGTTTAAATATTTGTATTTCTCTTGATAAAGAAATGATGAGCCCACGTATATTTATTAAGTGTGTATGTGCGTTGGGCATTTCTGTACACTGTCAGGGGTAGAGGTGGTAGAGAAAGGATTTAAAAAAAGTTAAGATGCAGTTCACAGTTTCTCAGAATATGTTTATTTTAAATGGTGCTAATAACTTGCTCTATGCTAATAGCCTTTAATGAAAGTCTTTCATTTTGTATTTTTGAGTCCTTGATGTTTTGAGTCTTGAAATAGGGAAATTCTGAAATTCCTGATATTTAAATTGTGGAAGGGAGCAAGTAGGTGTAAATATCTTTAGTTATTGCAGTTAAAATGAGCACAAGGGGGAAAATAACACCTCAAATTGAGGGGCTCCTTAAGCGCAGCAGAGAAAGGCCATTGGGATGCAAAGACTCGGGAACGGTTAGTTGTTTTTCTTTTTTCTGCTCATTTGTAATCATCCATTTTCCTGCTTTGACACAGCCTTTCCTTGGCGCTTATTTTATGCTCATTTCACTGTGTTAAAACCAGCATTCCCAAAATGGCAGCAGGACAGGAGCAGGCCAGCTCTGGAGTCCTGGCCCTGGGTTTGAATGGTACTCTGCCTCTTGGCAGCTGTGTGCCTTTGGGGAAGCTTTACCTCCTGGAGCCACTATTTCTTCTGTAAAATGGAGTGAATTGTTGTTGTAATTGTGGTTGTTGCTTTGCAAGACTGGTGTGAGAACAGAGACCTTGTGGGAAATCCCTTGGCTCTGGAAGCCTAATCAGCATAAAACTTTTAAGCAACAGTAGAGTTCTGGGAAATGCACCATCCTCAGAAACCAGGGCTCTTGCTGTTCCCAAGGCTGCCAAGGCCCATGTTACAACAACAATTCACTCCA